CCCAGTGCAGATTGAATTCCTGTCACCTCCTCACCAGTTCCATGTTCCCCCCAGAACAGCTGACCCCAAATCAACCTGAGTTATTTCCCCAGAGACAGGAGCAGAACACACCAGAGGGCTCAGAGGAGACCCAGGTGTGCTTGCTCTGGCACACCTGTGCAGTTCAGAGGGTTTGGGGTTGGTTTGTTTGCTGCTCACCTGGACACTGGGATTTGAGGCATGCTGATAAAACACCCTGCTGTGAACAGCAGTGCAGTCCAGGCAAGTTCTTTGCTGGGATGGCCAGCAGCAGGAAGGGCCATCTGCTGAGATCTTGGTAAATAATAAAGCAGAAAACTCTGCAGAAAAATCTTCTGGTCCTAGGCTGGAGAAAACAGGTTAGAGTTTGGAGATGCAAGTCTCATTGTCCTCAAAGTTCAACATTTAACAAGGTCATGAATCTGTAAACAGTATTTTAGAGTGAGATAAATATATAATAGATCACTGAGATAAATATATAATAGATAACTGAGATAAATATATAATCACATTTAGTTCAACCTGCCCCAAGGTAGGGAAGAGCTGGGAGCCATCACTAATTACTTTGTCAGCTGGTTCTGAGATCTCTGAGATTTGACTGCAACTGATCTGTTTGTGTTTGGCATTTGAAGAAGAGAAAACAAAAACATGATAGCAAACATTAAAGATGCATCCCTTCCTCTGAGAGCTCAGGAGTTCTGCACGTTGCTGGGCACGGGATGGTGGGAAAGGCACTGCTGGAAACGTTCCTGTGGCCCCTCTATTCCTGTTCCTTTTATTCTCTATTGAAACAAGGTTTGGACTCCAGCACCATTTCATTGGAGCTCTTTTTTTTCTGTGCTCTCAGGAATATCCAAAATGTTGTAAAAATCATTACATCCTTATGCTTTTACCAAAAATAAGCCAATTAAAAAAAAAAAAAATTGTAGAGAAGGAAGTTGGACAGACTCTACTGTGTTCTGAGGCACAATCCAGTCTTGGCCAACACCTGGAGCACAGGCCTTGCAGTTTGGAATAAAAGCTATAGCAAATTATAAAAATAAAAAAATAAAGATGAAGGGATGTTGTAAAGCAGTAAAATTGAAAAGCCAACAAGAAGATGCACAGGCCAGAAGGAAGAAAATGAGGGACAATCCAGAAGACACAGCAGTAAATGAACCCAATATTTGCTGTTTTGCTGGGGAGAGATGCTTATTGGGTAACAGCTTCAATTTACACCCTGCATCCTCCTGCAACAGCAGTAAAACACATTTACAGTCAAAATAATGTAACAAAACAGATGGCCAATGGACTAAAATGGAGTTTTATGCTATTATTCCTGGAACCTAGGTCAGTAAATTATACATATTTTCAGCAATGCAAATGATTCTTTTTACTGCTGGAAAATAGACTAAGTATCTAAATTAAATTGGAAGCCACTTTGTGCAGTAATTATTTACAGCCCAGCCCATTTGTTTAAGGCCAGGGGTATAAAGGCAGCCCTGCATCTCAAGTATTTGGCCATCTGTTCTGACTCTGAGCAGGTATAATTCACTGGTACCTGTGTGTCTGGGGACCTGAGGATTGTCTTGTGTAGCAGCTCCTGCCCTCCAAGTCTGAGATGGAACAAAACTCTTTAGAGCTTGGAAATGACAGAAAATTCAGTATAAACTTGGTGCTCGACTTCTATCAATCATCAGCTCTGTAGCTGTGAAAAGCAGAAGTGAAGGAATCTATTTTGAAGTGGTTTTTAGCCCCAGGCACTCACACCCCTGTCCCTGTCCCTGCCCAGGGGCTCCTGCCCTTCCATGGACAGCTCCTTGCTTGGGAAGGAGCCAGACCTGGAATATTTTCATATTTTTGGGTTTTTAAAAGGAGAAATGCAGGGCAGGTGACAGAGGAGCTGGCACCCTACACTGCCACCACCCAGCTGAGGATTTCCAGTTCAGGAAAAAGAAAAGCAATATAGAATAAAATACCTTCATTCCTGTTCCCTGAAGGTGTGGGATGAGGCCAGCAGCCTGCACACACGGTGTGTGAGGAGGAGCTGAATCAGAAATTCAGAAATTCAGAAATTGTGTCACTCGTGGGGGAGCTGGTCCCAGTGGTGGGGCTGTGCTGGGGTAACTGGAGCCAGGAGCAGCTCCTGGAGCTCCCCAGCCCTGATCCCTCCTTTCCTGGGGAATTCTCAGTGTCTGTGCTGGTGGCACACGGTGGCATCCAGGGCTTGTGGAGCTCATCCTGTGGCAAACAGGTTTGGTTAACAGGGAGCTCAGAGCAGTGATTTGTGGGTGACCAAACATTGCGTTTTCTTTCACCTAAATGACATTTTAAAAACTTAAAAAAAAAAAAAAAGCTGTGTCTCAACAACTTAGATAAACACTAAAAATCTAGTCTGTAGGTTTTAGATTTCTTATTTATTCTGGTTTATGTTCACTTCATTAACCTGAGTGACCCCAGATAATCTGGTGGTTTCTGCTATGAAGTGTAGAACAGGTTCTATCATTAAGGGTTGTTATTTTCAGCACTAACTGCTGCAAAGCAGATGTTTGTGCCAGGGCTGTAGAAATGGTCAGGGGTGATTTAAGCAGTGCTTTTCTCGGGTATTTTAAATTACTAAAATATGTTGCTAAGTCCCAGCAGTCCCTTCCTGTACCTTAGCCTGGATATTTGTGTCTTCAGTTTTGTCCAAACTATAAAAAAAAAATCATGGTTTGCTCCTTGGAATTTTGTTTCCTTGCTATGTGGACTGAAGCAAAATTGCTCCTCATGCAGGATTGTAATGACAGCAATTAAAAATGCATTGACTCTGGAGTGACAGAGAATCAGTATGAACCAGAGTGAAGATGTGGGGGAGTGAATTTCGTTGTCATCTGACACTGTGCTAATTGCACGATATGAATATTTCTGGTTTTACAGTCAGTGCATCTCCAGACTTCCCAACTCGATATCCCAATATTAATGAAATCTTCAGAGCAGGACACGTGTGAGCAGCAGAGCCGAGTGCCCAGGCTTTGCAGCTCAGAGCTGAAACTGCATTTTGTGAAGTGCTCTCTGGGGAATGGTATTATCGAATTAAAAACCTGGGAAAGGAGTTCGGGTTGTTGTTGTTTCTACTTTTCTTGTTCAAATTGTCATCGTTAGCCGCTGGAAATGCAGGAATCCTTAGAAATTGTTTTTTCCTTTTTTTTGGTATTCCTCTAGGCAATGGATTTAGATATTCCAGTGCTGGCAAGGAACATTCCTGGGAATGCAGCAATAATAAAACACAAGGAAACAGGACTGCTATTCTCAACTCCCCAGGTAAGGAAACCACAGGAGTTCAGGTGCATTTTCTATCCCAGCCTTGTGTGTGTCTGGACAGTTGGTATTGAAATGATTTCCTCTCAGCAGCTGTGCTCAGATTCTCCCTCCTGCATTTGCAGTTCAGGGAGCTCGTACTAGGTGTCAGCCTTGCAGAATGTTTGTGTGAGCTGCTCTGAGCCACTTGTTGCACTGGGCTTTGAAGAATTTTTTTTTTGGGGTTTTTCTTTCCACAGCCAAACCCTGCAGGAGCTGCTCTGGCTGTGCCAGATTTGCCTTCAGGCAGTAACTGAGGCAGGAACCTGGGTTAGACAAACTGTAGCTCCCCCAAAAAAGAATGAGCCTCAAGTTGCAGGGGACACATTTTCTGTCATTTCCAGCAGTCAGTGTTAATGTAAAGTATTTTTAGATGCAAGGTATTGCTCAGTCAGGGAAATTAGTGATAAAATTCAGTGAAGTGTTAGGATGAAGTCTCAGTGAAGTTAAGTAAGGGTGGGGAGAGAGGAAACACGACCTATATTTAAATGCTGGAATTTTCATTTCAGGATATTTTCCTGCATTATGGCTTTGCTGTTACATATTCATGCATGCTGTGGAAAATTACTCTTAGAAAAAGATTCCCTCACAGTTTTATCCAACTGAAGGTTTAAAAAACATACCAGAGTACACCATTTGATAATTTTGCAAAGTAGAGAATGTATCTTACTTATTTCCTTTGTGGAGTGTGTGATTAATGCATCCTATCAAGTTGTGTTTCTGCAAACTGAATCCTCTTGGTTGGTTTTGAAGGAGTTTTTAATAGAAAAACTCTTCCAATTCAAGTATGGTTCTGTTTGTTTGTTTCTGGAATATTCCATTTTTCCAGTGGTTTCTACAAAACCCAGAATATTTCTTTGATAACTAATGTACATGTATTCTCTAAAAAAAACCCACTGGCTTCCACCTCCTCAAAACTTCCAGGACATCCAACCCTATTGAACAAAGGATTGAGAGCTCTCCTGCTATTAATGCTGGCACATTAATTAATTAATTAATTAATTCTCTTGTTTCCCTCAACAATCTGCCTGCACTTGGCTTGGAATTCAAATGCATTATTAAAACAGATTCAATTATCACCATACATCCCTGCAAGGAGCCTCTCCTGTGCTCTCCAAGCATCCCAAATTCCCGGTGTTTATTTGGGATTTGAGATCCATTGTACAATTCTGCTGCACATTTCACCCAGGGGAAATGCTCCCAGGGACATCAGGGACTCTGGACAAATGGCAGAGGACTGGGGGACTCTCTTTATATCACAAATCTGTCTAGCCCACTGTAATTTTAGTTTCTAGGAACCCTTTTTGCCTCCTGTGCACTGTGCTGTGCCCAAGATCAGAATCCCTCTCCCACTGCTGCTTGTTGGCCCCTCTTTGCTGTTGTTCTGTCTCAGAACCTCTCTCAGGTGAGGATTTGTGTAAGGGGGATTATTTGCTGGGCTTTGCAGGTTTTTGCACCACTAATTAGTGATTTGTCTCAGTGTCATCTGGTTCTGTTCAGAGCCAGGATTGTTAGAAAGGCAATCGAGCTGGATTCTCATGTTTGGATTTGGATGTTTATTGTATCTTATCAAAACTCACAGAAAGCACAGCAGCACCTCCAGCTCTTTGCTACAAGTGGGAAAAACAGCTCCAAGCTGAGGCTGCTTCAAGGACTTTTAAAGCTAAACACACCCAAAAAAGTTTTAAACCTCTATTATTTATCCTTTTAACCCAATAATGGATTCCCATGACTCTTAGAGTGACTTTCAACTGACCAATCCAAAGGTCACTGCCTGAGTTCTGTGAAGAAGGAAGAGAAGATCAACAAAGAAAAAGACATCACCCAAAATTTTCCATCTTGTCCCATACCCACCCCTGTACTGTAAAAACCTCAAATTTAAACCCCATCACCCAGTGAAAACACACACATCTGACCCACTGCACATTGGTGATTTCTAACTCATTATTTATATTGAAACATCTTCTCCAAGGTTCCAGCTCCAGAGCAGTGTTTTCCAGGGGGTTTGTGCCTGGAAGCACAGAAAGCTCAAAAACTCCACATTCCTGAGATCCAACAGATTTGCAGGTAAAATATTTATCCTGGAATCTGCAGTGTTGGTGCAGCAGCCCTGGGAAAGGGAAGATCCCCCCCCCTTCCTCTGCAAAACAGCAATTTTAGCTCAGTTCATGAAAGCCCTTTCACATTTTATTGCTGTCACATATTGTAGGAACTACCAGAGTTTGCAGATTCCCCTTCTTTCCAGGGGAATGTCCTAATCCCACTGCAGAGTTGTGGAAAAACTTCCTGCAGAATGGCAAACATCAGCACTGGCAGGTTTGAAGATAAAGTTTCATTTTCTCGTGTTCCTTATCTCCCCAAACCACACCAAATACAGTTTTTAAGCCACTGCACAGAGGCTGTCAGAGGCTGAGAGTCACATTAGATCAAAGAAATGCAATTAAGTTAGAGGGCATTTTAATTGTTGGGACAAGGGACACTGCCCATGGCACTTTGAATGTGACCTTAGATCTGGTCTGAGTGAATTTGGACTGGAAAACATGTTCTGGTAAGATATATATATATATTTTAAATTTGATTACTTTAAGTATGTTTTCTGCTGTACCCTTAGATGCATCAAGTTAGTGAGGAAAATGCCTTTAATCTAGAAAAGTTTAGAACTGTTTGGGAAAATCTGAGTGTCTGGCTGGAAGAATCTGGGCCACCAAAGATGAGCAAAGTTTGGTGGATTAGAAAAGGAATTTTGCTTGCTGAGTTTGGTGGATCCTGAAGATACAGGTTGGATCACAGCTCAGGAGGAGGAATTGCTGTTTTCCAGTTGTTTCTGATCTGAGGAGGGAAAGCTTTGCAGTACCTCGGGTATGAGCAGTTGTGCCTGCTGCCTTTTGAAAGCCAAATTAGAGGGATATTAATTGACCATTATGCAATGAGGATTGTTTTAAATCATGAGTGCTCTTGGCTTTCTTCTTTCATTCTTGCTGGAAGTGAGCTCCTGTGGCTTCCAGGAAAGTAGGAAATGTTGTGTCTGACTGTTGCCATCCTTAACCATTTGCATTTGGCTGGAAACAGCAAAAGCCTTGCCAGTCACTGGAGCCAGCACTCAGATGGAAATAGTTAATCTGGGAGTGAAAGCCCTGGAACGTTTTGTTCCTGACACTCCATCGTTTGTGCACATTTCTGTGCACGTTACTTTTAAATCCTGGGTTGATCCTCGCTGCTGCTTGAATTTGCAAGTTTATGGAATATTTGACACTGAGTTAATGGGACCTGAAGTAAAAACAGTAAGAGATAAGGACGGGGCAATAAATAATGCAAAACTGTTTTAAAAGGGAAGACAAAGAGTTATTCAGCAGGCTGAGTTTCAAAATTATTTGTTCAATGTCTGTAAAAGCTCTGGAAGGACCTAACTAAAGAGGAGGAGGTGAATAAACTTAAAATGCAATGAGAGAGGGCCAGGGGTGGAGGGAGCTGAGCTGACCAGCCTTGGGAGTGTTTGGAGGGGTGGGAGGGACAGGGATAAGGGATAAGGGACAGGGAACAAGGACAGGGATAAGGGACAGGGAACAAGGACAGGGATAAGGGAGAGGGATAAGGGACAGGGATAAGGGACAGAGATAAGGGATGGGGACAGGGAACAAATAGGGAACAAGGACAAGGATATGGGACAGGGATATGGGGACAGGAAACAGGGAACAAGGACAGGGATAAGGAACAGGGACAGGGAACAAGGACAGGGATAAGGGACAGGGATAAGGAACAGGAACAGGGATAAGGGACAGGGAAGAGGGAACGAGGACAGGGACAAGGGACAGGGATATGGGACAGGGCTAAGGGACAGGAACAGGACGCCCAGCCCAGCTGGGAGCAGCAGCACTGCTGTGACCTGCAGAGCTTTCCTCTGTCACACAGGCTCAGAGTCAGCCCGGGTTTTTGGGTTTTCCTCTGCCAGACAGGCTCAGAATCAGCCCAGGATTTTCCAAACAGGCTCAGAATCAGCCCGGGTTTTTGGGTTTTCCTGTGCCAAACAGGCTCAGAATCAGCCCAGGATTTTGGGTTTTCCCGTGCCAAACAGGCTCAGAATCAGCCCAGGTTTTTGGGTTTTCCTGTGCCACACAGGCTCAGAGTCAGCCCGGGTTTTTGGGTTTTCCTGTGCCAAACAGGCTCAGAATCAGCCCGGGTTTTTGGGTTTTCCCGTGCCAAACAGGCTCAGAATCAGCCCAGGATTTTGGGTTTTCCTCTCCCAAACAGGCTCAGAGTCAGCCCAGGTGCTGAGAGCTCTGACCTTCCCCCCCAGCAGAACAAGGCTGGGTTTGGGGCAGGGCCAGCACTCCCAGCTCAGCCCCCAGCAGCACTGGGGGATCTCCCAGGGCTGCACCTGCCTGCAGGTACCTCTGTCACTGCCAGTCACACCTGGCCCCTGCCTGCCCTGGGGTCAGTGCTGCTCTTTAACAATCACCTTCTTCTGTGGGCTGAAGCTGCCACGAAATGGTTTCATGGCAGCCTTACTTTCATTATATAAATAATATATTAACCATGCATCTTATTTTCATTTTGTGTGAGCTGCAGCGCCAGTGCAGCTCTCGTGGTAATTGAGGAATTATTCATTCCTTTATACTCAGTGCACTCATTTGCCAGCTTTATCTCCTGGATACTTGTGTTTCTGTGTGTCTGCAAAATATTATACAGGATTTATTTTAGGTACTATACAGAGGAGTTGACATTTTCTTTAAGGGTGATTGGTCAATTTACCAGGAGAAAACTGTATTATGGATGTTACTGCTGAAAATTGCCTGTGTTTGTGGTGGAGTACTTCCCATGAAAAGGGCAGATGTGAGAGTGCTTCTGGATGTACAGGAGATGATTTCCTCCCGTTTTTCTGGGTTGTGATTTACTGCCGAGCCTCAACTTTTACACTGTGTTCTGCTGTCACCTGTAAATTAATTATACCCACTGCTGTGTGGGAATAAAGGTTTATTAGGAATATGGATGGCCCCAAGTTGTAAGCTGGCATAGAGATCATCTCCTTCACTCGGGCTGCTGAATGTCACACCCTTGGGTTTTTTAAGTTTGTGAATTTGTGAATTTGACCCTTCTTTCACCAAAACTGAGGCTAGCTTCCCATCTACACCAAAATACAGCAATGTATAATAAATATTTGTGCAAATATCACTGGCACAAATACAGCAGAACAGCTTCTGGAGATGTGTTACCTCCCTGTAATTACTTTATATATCTCAGACTTCTGGAAAAGCCAAAGGAAATGCTGGATTTTCTGAGCTCTGAATGTCTGCACATTGCAAGTCCAGACTTAGCACAAAACCACAACTGAAGTGCAAGTCACTTGTAGTTAGGGGAGACACCTGAAAAATGAAGTTATTTCTATCTAAAGCTGAGCATCCAAACCTGAAAATAAGCTAAGCCAGCTGCTCCAAGGGTAAAAGGCAAAACCCAGATAAGTCACAGTGAATCTTCCCATTGGCTTCCAGGGCATTGCAAGGGACTTGTGGGTGGTCACACTGGATTAGGAGGAGAAGTAGGGATGAGGCTGAGAAGTCCTTACTCTCCAGCTCCTGGTATTTTTCCATTTGCTTTTTCTCTCTCCTGCATTTTCTCCAATTTTATGCTTTGCGCTCAGTCTGGCTTTTTTTTTTTTTTCCCCTGAAATTATCCTCAGCCTTAAGTATTGTAACTGTGAATAAGGCTCTCATTTCTTCTATCATTTACATGTTTCCAAGTTTTTGTCCTCCATATCCACATTTTAAAAGAATGCTAATAGGACTACCTGTCAAGAAATGTTACATTGCTGCTTCTCCTCTTAGGTAATTTACATAAATTATTTTAAAACATTACTTTAAATAAAATCCCCCACAGAAGCATAAAATCAAAGTTGAGGATGTAGTTCAGTGTGAACAGTATTTATTACTGTGATTTTCCTGCTAATTGGATGAAGGCAGCAGAATTCAGGTGAGATTTTTGCCACCTTCCCTGTGTTGTCTGTGGGGCTGGGGCCAGGTGTGACAGACACGGGCTGGGTGCTCCACTCCTGCTCTGGGGAATCTCACAGGTAAGGGGCTGAAATCCCAGTTCAACCAGTGGGTGGGGAGCAGGCTGGACACAGAAGTAGAACAGGAGAGAATTGTTCACTGGTGTGCATG